GTGATCCCCCCGACCGAACGCGGCATTAGCCATGGCGACATCTTTGCTTAATTTCCTCTTAGTTTAAAGCACGACCCCCGAAGGAGAACGTAGACGATTTTCGACGACTATCGAAGCCTCCTACCACTCTTAATTAATCCTTAATTAATTTCTAGCTCGCGTTCGTCCGTCGCGTCGTTCCGTTGTTCTCTGGAGAACAGAGGAACGTAACTATCGCGAACATTTTTAGCGATTCATCGTCGACAAAGCTTTTTCTTTCTATCGGCGTTTTTTTTTTTTTTTCCATCGAGGCCGCACCGTACGTTTGAATTTCCAGCTAGAATGAAATTCGCACGAAGGTATCGATGGTAGTTTAATTACATTTTCGATAGCCAATCACGCGAACGATAAAGAGACGGCGCACCGTAAATCAAATCCGGCGTTATACGAACGCTAGAGTAACAACAATGGTCAACCCAATCGAAGCAAACGTACTACATATTATAAAAAGAATTTCTCGTTAATGGAAGTACAATCAAAGTATTTTTTCTTTTTCATTTTTTTTTTTTTTTTTTTAATAAGCTTCGAGCGTTGGATTCACTGGGGTAGTGAATTGTAACAGGTCGCGTCGGGGGACTAAGAGAGGATCGCGTAAGAAGCAATCGTCCTTTGAAGACGATGATATTCCGACGCGACGACGCGCCTCCATTGTACGGGACAGCCGGGTCAGCCTGACGACCGGGCAACACGTGTCTGTTATGTCTATTATCGACAGATAGTGGGGTAACGAGCGGACGAGATTTATCGCCCTTGGTGCCGGCACCCTAGAGGAAACGAGAAGCCGAGGGCAGGGATGGGGTGGTAAAGCGAGAAGAGCCGGCTTTACAGCTGGTTTGACAGAAAGAAAGGCCAGTTAAAGCCTTACGTTCGAGTCTAACGCGACGCGTGCTCGTTTCGTCGAAAGTACACACACCGCCTTTACCGAGAGAATATTTATTGGTCGAGACACGTGCAACATATCGCGAAAATGTTTCATCGATCAAAAACGTTTTAACGACGCTGTTAAAAGAACTCCGATCGGATTCGATGGTTTTTCGCAGTCGGAGCAACTTTGAACAGTTGCAAAAAGAAACGTTTATAATACTTTCATGGGAGAGAGAAGAAAGGGTGAGAGCAAAACTCGTTGCCGGTAAATTTAAATGTCAAAATAAACGCGTTAACGATCCAACACTCGCAAAGCTGTATCATCAGTTTATTAACATAATAGGAGAAGGTGCAGCCGCGGCAAACCCGTCAATCAAAAACCCGATCCTCAAGAAAAGGGCTAGTTAGCCAGTGACCCTTGCATTCTCGTCCTAACCAAGGATAACGTATGGATGCATACCCTTTCTTCAACTATTTCTAACGATACGAAACTCTAAGGAAACCACGTGTTCCATATACCTAATTTTAAGAAATGAAAAGAAAACGAAACGAAAAGAAAAATAATTATCAGTGAAATGATAATCTATGTAACGTGGAAGGAACTTGCCGAGGAAAGAAATTTTAGCGCGCAAGGGATGCAAAAGGGTCAGCCCCTTTGGCCGGTAGATTCGCATAGATGGCCAGGCCTACCTATGGGGATTCTTTTTCCGTGTAGAGGGTACGTCCAGGCATGCGACAGGCCTCACAATGCCAAATATTCCCCGCGTCACTGATTGTCACTTGTTTCCTGCCGATTCTGTCCACTGGTTCCGACCGCGGTCCCGGCTTCAATTTCATATGGCGAAAATCACCGTCCGCGTAACCCTACGCCTTGAGAAAACGAAGGTCACCGTGTTACCTTGGACCTACTGCATCGAGAACGCGGCGACGAAGAACGTGGCCGGTGAGCAGAGAGGAAGGAAAATGCACGCGGCCCGATCAACTTAATAAGAAGCAAAGCTGAATCAGGAGGAAGAGAAGGTGGAGGAGAAGGAGGGTGAGTATAATGTGGCTCATTGTCGAATCACTTCCGGGGCTTGACCTCCAGCAACGCCCCAAAGACCGGTTCACCTGGACAATGTCCACGAATAATGGGCACCGGTGTTGCGCGTATTGTACGAGCAAAACGACGGCCTCGTCGATTGTCTAGAATCGGCGAGCTTACAGATTGGCCGAGAATTTAATAACATCCACAATGCTTGCACCACCTACGTTTCCTTCCAGGATCCATTCAGATGAATCTGGATCCTGAATGATTAAGCGGTAGGCGTGCAAGGAAGAGCGTATTGTCATTTCGATGAAGATCGTCGCCAGAGAATTTGAGAAGGGTGCACGTTACACGCTCGTCGACCACGATTAACCCTTTCGTTGCATACGACGTATATATACGTCGTTGGTGATATAATATTATAGAGGAATTTTGCAGTTAATTTCGACGTTCTATCTGGTCACGGACAAGAGGGTGGTTCGTGCGGTTCGCGCGAGAACACGGACGTCGTCGTTTATTCGATTTGTCAGCGACATACGTCGCTAATGGCGCAACTTTCCAGCCGATTTGTCGAAAAAGTGGTCGGCAGCGAGTCGCGTGCGTGCTGCCGCTTCAATATGAAAAACAACCGATCTTTTTCCCTTCCCTCGTGGTAGCCGTGCTGGAAAAAGCAGCCGGCGTGGCGCGGAGTGGCTGTTCGAATTCGCTGTCGAGAGACGTCGAGAGGGTCCGTCAGCGATCACGCGGAAAAATTGACGATGCTTCTCAATATGTCGATGAGCGAACGACACGAGGAAGAGAGCAGATTGTACGACCCTCGTACGGATATGAATGAGTTAAAAACATACGGATAAATATAGAAAGCTTTTTTATCAAATGCACCTGTGCGTACGCGTCGAGGAGAGCGTTAAAAATACACCGTTCGTTAACCGTAATGAAAGTTCTGATTTGATCATGATTGACGATGGATGTTCGAGGATTAAAGAGACTATGCTTGTTAGAGAGGAGAAAGGAATAATGTGATGGACAACTAGCGCGATAAACGGCATGGGATTGATCATTTGAGGCCGGGTTCTCGAGATCATTCGGTAAATTGGAGCGGTATATACCCTCGAAGCGAGGGTCTCTCACGGCCGACTGAGCTAAGCCCAAGATTGGTTTAGTCGCCACGAAGGCACGCCGCGAGTCGGCAGTTCTGCGGATCACGCGTCACCGAGCAAAACGCAACCGGAACAGAGAATCCCCCTTATGCTTTCCTCCCATTTCCCTCTTACCCGACTCGCTCGGAGGAGCCGAAAAACGAGGCCCGGGCCAGCGCGGCAGGTGGGGTACCAACGATACGCCTCAAATACGGCCACCCCTCGAATACCTACCCCCGTTCGTTTTCAGGTGTGCGACGTCGCGTCGCGGGTAACTATCCACGGAATTTGGGGAAAATTTCGGTTTGAGGGTTCGTTTTTTTGCCGGCTGATTCCCTTTCAATTCGATGCCACCGTAACGAGATAGCTTTACTTCATCGCGATCTCTTCTCTTTCCTATCACTATGGAATATTAAATTGATATTTTACGAGTTTCCTGATAGCGGGTTATCGATAATCCTGTTTCAATCTTCAATGTTTTCCCCCTTTGATCCCGTGGCGCGAGAAACTCGACCATTTTCCCTGAGAATGTGAGAAAAGGATTAGGATTAGGGGATAGCGTGCGAATCGATCGAAAGGGATCCCTCCTAGATTTCTCCAATTTCAGCGAAAGGATCACGCGTTCTGTCAACCGTTCGATAGATTCGTCACCTCCTCTCTCTCTCTCTCTCTCTCCTCGTTGTAAATTGTATTTCTAGCAATCCGTGTGCAACGAACGTTTTTTTCTCCTCCACCGGGGACAAATAAAAATACGCGAAATTCTTTCGGTAGGAATATTCTAACGATCGATCTTTCCGTTTAAAAAGGATATCCAAAATTCGGTGAGAACTCACGGCGAGATCTCTGTCGCGATGTTTTCTCCGGCTCGTGTGCTCGCACGTTTACGCGCGTGGGGTTGATAGATCGGCCCGACGAAACGAAGGGGTAGTTTGGCTTTAATCGATCCTGTAATCGCCGGTCCGACAGTTGGCCCCGGCTGCCTTTTTGTCGGCAGTTAGATGGATGGCGCCATTTACATTTTGTCAGTGCGACATGCGCTAACGTAACATAACGCCGCCGCTATCATATCTATCACACCCTCTGGACGGTACGCGGCCAGTTTCCGATTCTCTCTACTCGCGCCATAATCTCCACTTTTATAGCGGACAAACGTTCTCTCTCGAAAAATAAATTTCGATCATCAAAATTATCCAAATTCCAAACTATTGACCAGCAATTTAAGCGGACAGAAAACCGATCTTCCAGATGGAAAATCACGAACCTTTGCCGACGATTTCACGGACTGTTTCTTCGATTTTGACTCCACGCCACGATTTCACGGTCGACTTAAAAACCCAGCATCCAACGGAGCCGTTTCCCCGGTCGAGTTTCGAAAGAATTTCGAAGAAAGAAGGAGGAATCGAGAGAGAACTGTCCGAGGCGAGCCAATTGACAGATCTGTCAACATGGATGACACCTTCGACGAACAGAACCGACCAGGTGTCTAGTCCGTTCGTTTCTCTTTTTCTTTCTCTCACTCTCTCCTCGGTGTTCCCATCTTCGGCATCTGCCGGATAATACCAGGGATTATAGCAGGAGGATAGCGAGCCCACTGACACTGGTTTCGAGCAAAGAGTATTCCTCCACCGGATCCCGAACCATAAACAGATCGATCATCTTTCAAACGGTTCCACGAGAACCCCGTGCTAGATGATATCGTACGCGAATCCCTAGTTTCGCAGGGAAACAATATGATTTCCGAAAGTAACCAACTATTATATCTAACATCCGGAAGCTAGTTGAAAAAGTTATTTCGATTTAGAAGCGTCGATATATTCTCATAGTTTACTTACGCGTATGTAGAGTGTACGTTCCGTAGTGAATTTCTAAAGGAACGTAAACGAAAGCGATAAGCTCTCGCGCAAACGTAAAGAAATACAAAACTCACTCACCTCCCATGCGTAACGGGGGTTGAAAGGTTCGCTCGCCCATTTGCCGAGAAAGGGGCCGAATCTTGCACCCCGTGGAATGTCCTTTCGCGCTCGAACCTGAGGATCGGCCGAGCTGCCTCCCACCTCGACCTCCGGCACCGGTGACACCCATTCGCGATTCGATTGCTCCTTCTGCTCTTGCTTCATCGTGTCCTCTGCGAATCGAAACGAATTATCGCAACACCGTTCGATCGTACAAAGATCGAGAACGATGTAAACCTCATTTTCAAACGAATTATCTCGATAACCATTCGCCCTCATACGTTGCTAACCTACTATTCTAATCCAGACAATTAAGCACCATGTCTCCCGATAATTTACACGATAATTCGTAGTATTAAGCAGCTCGCGGCTGACCCAATATTCTAATTCGAGCAATTAGCTTCACACGATCGTTCGAGCGGTAGAGAGAAAAGAAAGAAAAAAAAAAATCGTATTTCACCACTCACGGTAGGCTTCGTTCCTGTACGACGACTCCCGCGATCTCGAGTACTCTTTTCTGTCACTCTTCTCCAAGTAATCCCACGAACACTTTTCTTCCTCCTTCGACGAGGCTGTTCGATGTCGTTCCTTCTCGTAGTGTTGCTGTTGCTTGTCCATGGCGGGCGAGTAACCTCGTTGATAGGACGGCCTCGATTGCTGATTGTAATCCTGGGACAAATCGTGGCCGATGGTGGAGTTGGAGTGCAGGCTCTTCAGCTCCCTGTACACCTGACTGCCGATGCCGGAACTGTTGCTACCGGCACGAATCGACCCGTTCTCCTCCATTTCCGTGTTTTCGCCGATTCCTGTACCTCCTCCAGCCGACGTGCCCGACGTCGACTCGCCTTCGTCGCTGCTTCCTGAAACAATACGGTTACGACTCAGAAACAACCACGTCGCTTCTTCGCGAAGGTTAAAAGGTGCTGAACAGCAGAGGCCACCCACGTTCTGCTTTGTTGTTCATGTAAATTCAATTTATAACGTTGCAGCAATAATCGCGAATGTGAAAATTTGCAGAGGCGCTGCAGGAAGTTGTGGTACCTACGAAGAGCAGGAAGGGAACGGGGAGAGAAATGATGATGGATTTCGTGAAGAAACGGCGAGGTTTGTTTGCGGAGACCCTGGTTTCCCTTCAGGGCCAGGCGAAATCCTAGGCACACACAAGGACAAGTGGCAATCGAAGAACACTATCTCTCCTCGAGCCGTCGGTCGTTTTCTCAGTCACAGAGCCGTGAGTGTACCAGGCGACACTGCGACACCCGAGCCAAGGATGTTTGACGCGATAAGAGGAGGACTTTATTGTCCCCCTACCTTTCTGATGCACCACGAAACAGCGTCGCGATGAGACTGAATCTTACACCGAAAGTAACCTATCGAAATCATCCTCTACTTTCGACGATCGTGCTTCATTCTCAGGCCCTAATTTTTCTCTGAATTACGATACTACGAACCTGCGAAACGATCCTTCGAATCTGGATTTATTTGTATAACTCTAGACCGGATACGAGACGGGCCCTTCTAATACAGGACTTATCTTCGAATCGAAAGATATCTCCGCTGTTGTATCGGCTATCTGAGAACAAACTATGAACTGTGCACGACCGTCCACGAGTGACACGCAAAGACCTGCGACAACGATCGAGAGTCCTCTGTAAACAGTTTAAGCTGAGTGAATCCACGGCTAAGCAAATTGCCGACAAGCTTGCAGGTGTATCCGAGAGGAAAGTATATAAAAGCAGCTCGATATTCCCTTCGCCATGTCGATCTTTTACGATCCAACGTTCGCAGTGTCACATAGGATGATATCACTATTCGATTCGATGACTAACAAAATATATTTTCTATTTACTGATCAAAGATAATTGAATTGTTAAAAGAAACTAACAAATAAGAAAGACCTCCCAGGCATCATCTTCGTTCCGATCGAACCGGAGCACCGGTAAATCGTTAAAAATATCAAATTTATGGGTCAAGCTTCAATTGGAGAAGGTAAACAACGAGTAAAGTGGAGTTAGCGAGAGCCAGTCGTAAAAGAAAACGGTGATCCTGTGCGGTCGGCTAGTCGACACGAAACTCGAAGACGGACGATAATACAGATATCGAGACGTGAGCTGGTTGTCCAGCAGGGAATCGTGTTCTATGACATCGGGACGACTATCGGTGCTAATCACGCGATGTTTCGACGAACAGAAGAGAATAATCGTAAAGATGCGATTTCGAGAAGGAGCAAGATTAATCCCTCGAACTCGATAAACGGAAATCCGGTCTGATCGATAGAATAAACAGAAGCTTGCCGGGCTGACTTTCGCTGGTAAAGAAGAGATCGAAAGGATGATTCGAAAGGAGGGTCCCTTACTACTCCAGCGCGACTAGTCGATACGATGGAACAACAATATTTGGAAAACTCTCGACACCGGGGGTCTTTGACTCCTGTGGGACACGAGTGCTCAAGTACTTTCTCCCTTGACAGAACTACGAGTACTTGTTGAACCATACGCGATATTATCCTCGATGATAGCGGCTCGAGAGGCTTCCAGGCCGATTAGAGTAAAGTGCCGCTTTTGACGCGGCTTAGAATCGAAATTATTCGTGGGAAGATTACGACTAGAGCTTTTTCTCTCTCTCTCTCTATTTTTTCATTTACTGAGTTGGTTTCTTTCTGGTTGGATAAACAGGTTTCTTTATTCAAAGGATATTAATATACTCGTACTCGTGGTTCATGGGAAAAGGGACTTATACAGAGTGATTCTATAAAGAGGAATTAAATACTTGCTCGTCTTTGGGTCCAGAAGCGTGAAAGCGGGAATATTAGAAAAGGCGCTGAGATATTCGTCGACGGATCCCGGAAAAGATAATTAAGCAAATTGGCAGGCGAACGGCAGGGTGTCGGAAGAGCGATTGCACCGTGGAACGTATTCACACGCGCGTAGACCGCATTACTGTAACCGCACAGGACATCCTGGTGATACGGGAATCCTGATGGAAAGTTGTTCGTTCTGCTGCCCATTAGCACGTATCGCTCCAACGATACTAATTGTTCCGCTAATCAGAAAATAAATTTTCCTAAAGAATCGCACCTGATTTGAAAGGAATCGATTATTGGAATTGATTGAAATCCTGCAACAAGGATTACCGTTTCACAATGCTGATAAAACTATCGTGTCACTAGGGAATTGCCAGTAGATGGCAAACCAAATTAAATAGAGGAATCTCTGCACTCTGGCTTCCGGACAAGCTGCGGTTGAGCTTCCTTTTCTAGATACTCGGAGATAGAACGCTTTTTCTCGGTAATTCGAATAAAATAGAATTAGAGGTAGCAAATGAAACGACTGTATTCTAATTAAGTAAGTATAATAAAAAAATTTGTCGCGTTACGAGTGACTTGGAAATTAAGGTGTTAAAATAAAATAAAAAATTAAAGTGTCTCAATATTATACTGTACATAATAAAATATCATAATTTTGTATACGACGATGTCGATAGCAGACTATAAATAACAGTTCAAAGGATTAATTCCATTTCCTTTAACTCGATAGATTTCTAAACCAATCAACCCTGATCCAACTATTTCAACAAACGTTTCAAACTTACCGTTCATCTTGTTGTAGTCGACCACGGGCCGGGACAAATCGAGACCTTTCATTCGCGTCGATCGGAAAAGCCTGCAGCACCGATTGTCAATTCGAATCACACATGCTATCACAGTCAAGTCTCACGATAACACGTTGTCAACATAATCCAACGGTTAAACGAATCCGCAAAACGTCGAAACTGATCGCGTGTCCATGATGAATCGATCGATACCGATTGTCCGTGCAGGAAGGATAGGTAGTTCGTTCACTGTTAGATCGGCAGGGGGTAGGTGGTCGGAAAGCGTAGCGATACTACGAGCCGTACGACGCGGATAGGACACGATGACGAAATAAGAAACGGATGAGGAAGAGAAGAGCGCTGCTCCGTGTCAGCTGGCTCTTGGCAGACTAGAGGATCCGAAATCTGTTGAGAAGAGGATGGCACAACGAGGGTTCCCGAGGGAAGCCAGGGACGATCCACGGGGTGTGGCGGAGCCGCTTCCATCGAGACCTCTGGTTGGCCCACGGGCGGAGCAACCCCTATCGCATTCGGATCCCCACCAGTCCACCGCAGCATCCCTCGACAGAGCGAGCAAGAGAACGAAAAGCTGAAACTGAACAGACGAACACAGAGACACGTTGCTTATACTACACTGACAGAGAAAACGTAGCTGCGGCTGTCTGAGCGAGTATGACCGAGTCTCAGAGAGGGGGAGTCGAGGGAAGAATCAGAAAACGTGACTCTGATAACGAACGAGACACACGCTCCTGCTACCAACATCAAACACCTACTCCAATTTCTTGGAATGGTTCGCAAACCAGTTTCTTTCGTATTATCCGCTCTACACGGATTCGTTTCTTTTAATTAATTACTGTTCTTCAACTTCGTTTCACCCTTCTCTGACGAGAAGTGAAATTTTCTTGCCTATCACAATTATCACCGATTCTGAAATTCTTGCGACCTGTGACTTTCAACTGGTAGCTTTTTTTTCTTTTTTTATTACAATCTGAACGTTATTGATCATAATGCCGATTGAAGAAAGTCGAGTTCCTTTCACACTTTTTTGCAGAAGGAATACGAAACGATGGAAAATGTACGATTCGCTGACGAGCACGGGTCAAATGTCAGAGTGCGAAGAAATGTTTTCCAATGCGCGAACCCTCGAGAACGTGGAAAGACCCCACGCAGAGTCAGGGTCAGTGGAACAGCCATCGAAATCTTTATTGGACAGGCTCGGTCACCTTTTTCTTCGGAAAGTAGCTGTCACGAGAGGCTGTCTAGATTCTTTTTTTTTTTTTTTCGACCACCTTTCACAATACATTGCGGTTTGTTCCTTGGACCGTCATCACGCCTCGCCAGTCAATCGAACGCGCAACAGAATTTCCAAAACGTCACTCTACTCCTGTTTTTTCCATACTCTTTCCTTCACAGTCAGTGAACGACTTTTCTGATGTCAACGGAAAAGTGAAATTGAAACCGCGAGGAGTTCGTTACACTCTCGTCGTCCGGATATTTCGATCGTCTAGGGAAAAATTCGTTATTCCATTTTATGAATTCGCAAAAAAGATGTATGAACGGTAAAGGGTTAAATCCACGAGTGAAGAGAAAACGGTCGGAAAGAATGAATAGCCCGGGTGAAAGGATGTCGAAACAAATCTTCATTTTCCGTGTGCCGCGAAATTCAGCGAGAAAGAAGGTCGTGTAAGCGATATGAGAGGTGTTCCGGAGGCAGGAAGACATGTGTCGCGTGCAGTTATATCATTCTTTATGGCCGGCAACGTTGGTACCCTTCGTTCATTCAACGCGATCGTCGTAGCTGCGATATTTGGCCAGGGGGGGTGGTTGATTTACACCAGCATAAAAATCTCCCCCTCCCACCAATCTCTGACGTAGATATCACCTTCTTCGACCACCCCTTTCAACCTCGCTCGCGAATTCGCGCGCTTTTTATATGGGGTTGCTTGTGATAAATGCGACCCACGAATGCGATTCCTCCGGAGAAAGAAAATGAGAAAAGAAACGAGATCTTTCAGAATTTCTGTGTTAAATAAAAATGTAATCAAGTCTGTCTGTAATAAAAATGGATAATTGACTTTCGAATTGATTTTCCTGACGGACACCGGTAACACCCGAAAGCCTCAAATACTATTATATTAACTATCGAGAAAGTAGCGGACGACGGGGTTGGTTTAGGGGTGCAATAAATAACACGGGAGTATCAAAGGGTTATCAGATCTAAGCAGAGTTTGTAGGTGTAGCGCAAGTTGCGACGCGTCGAGTGACGATG